CACACTTGTTGTTCGTGTGTTCAACCTTTAACCCTCAAATGGTAGTATGGGATCACATAGGGTCCATATGGTTAGATGGGTGTTAGTCCGTGTAAGGCAGAAAGGCTCAATATTGTCTCATACAGGCAGTTAAGCTGGAAACCATCGTCTCATGTAAAAGCTGTTGAATGTAGACTTCAAGTTGGTCATATGGTGGGAGTCATAAACCCAGATGGCCATATAGCCAGTTAAAACCATGTCAAGCTCATATTATATTGTTACATGGTGCCTTATTTCATGGCGTATTCACGCCAATTAAACCCTAAAATGGTCATTTAAGACAACATGGGTTTTACGCGGTTAATTTGAACATAGTGTTTGCCAGCACGCTTCCATGAGCACAATGGTGTGCGAGCGTGTGTCAGGTTAGGGAGGGCATCATGGTAGAATTGCGGCGCGAGGCAGGGCAAAATGCTTGCAGCCTTCACCTTCAGCTTTCGTCGAGTAGCAGCTTGTGCCGCAACAACTGACTGGCACCAATGTGTCAGGTTGATCGCCTTGACGAAGATGCTTGGATGTTCAAGAAGTTGGACTTCTGATGCTGTAATGTGCCAGGCACCCGGATGCTTCCAATTGCAGGTAGTACTGGAATCTTGCAGCCGGAAAGCCATCATGCTTCATGCCATGCAGACTCTTGCTTGTACTACTTGCTTCTCTTGGTCCAAAGTCGTCAGCAGCAGTTGTTGACGTGTCCCTGGAATCTTGTGTGCTGGCAGGCTGTTCAAAACTGAGCTGGCTCAGGCAGAATTACAATTAATGCGGAGAAAAAAGGCCGGCGCATGAAGACTGGTACGGGTAGAACAGCTGCCATGTTGGCGATTATTGGTTTGCAGGCGTCTCCAGCCCCTGTGTTCACAGCTGCCATGTCAGCCAAACTTCTTGCACCAGCAGCATGGGGTATGCGCACATGCCGCAAGGTCCAGTCCCAGCTGCTCGGCAATCTTAGCCATATTGTTGAGCTGTAGTCAGGCATCGCTGGTTTTGCACACGTCGCTTCTTGATTTCAGGGGACAAACCGTGAGCCTGCGCATCGCACAGTTTTTTTTATATGAAAGCCCGGTTGGATAGTAGAAGTTGAGCTTCTTTCTGTCAGCCGGGCAGCCAGAACGGACATCAGTTGTTTGCTTTCGGGAATTACCCAAGCTTTTGATTCAATCGAGATCATGGCATCATACCTGTCATGAGTCGCCAAAGTTCTCGATGAGGTGGACAGGGAGCACGCGGCATGGCCAATGGGCACATGCTGCCGGCAGTCTGCAGAATTCGCACCGGTAGCTTGGTTAGGAAGCCTTTCTGCAGCAACTTGTTTTTGTTTTCGGAGAAGTCACCAACACAGAGTCAGTGTCCAGGAAGCCGTGCTCGCAAACATACATAGCTGGAATGGAAGCATGCCGAAAGAGATTGCAGTGGGTTTCTTGGCTGCTGACTTGCAGTGTACGTAGACTTTTACTCCCCTCCGCACGCCTTCAGCCTTAGTGCAGCCAAGGAGTGGTGCGTTCAACTTCTCTCCGAGATGCCTCACAGCCTCAGGTGCAGCGGTCCGTGTCGCTTTGCTAATTGCTTCATGTGACCCGTGATGTTGCAGGTCGGCCCGTGCTGTTGCCTTGGCAGCAGCTGCCTGCAGCAGGTGTACTCAGTGGCAGGCTGTGCTAGCCCTGATGAACGGCATGGAAGGAAGGTGCAGCAGCATTAGGCTGCCCCTACCGTGCCGCGCTTTAGCTTAAAGCTGAATGGGAAAGCAGGAAGTCACGACCTCAAAGTTGCCAGTGCAGCAATCAGTGCCTGCGGTGCCGCACAGCAATGGGAGGCGAGCGGCAGGAAAAGGGGCAGCTTATGTATCATCGCCATGATGCAGACACGCATACCATTCTTGCGGAACCCGTGTTTTTTTGTTTTGAGGCTGTTTGGCCTTTTTTTTTTGTTAGGCCCCTTGAAGCCCAGCCAGGCAGGAGGGTAAGTGAGTGAACTCCCATCCCCTACCAAACAGCAAAAAAAACAAACACGCCACCGCCCA